GTGATGATAATTAAACGCACCACTATATATAAAGTGCCTAGAACCATACCTAGCAGCAGTTAATAACCACAGCATAAGTGTCATCTACATTATTTTTGTTATAAGAAATATCCCACTTCAAGGGCTGGGGATTTAGCTCAATGGTTTCACCGCCTGCTGCGCAAGCGCAAGGATCTGAGTTCAATCCCTGGTATCAAAAAAAAAAAAAAAAAAATCCCACTTCAAACAAATCTTGATTATTAAAATTTCACTTTTTTCACCTATGAGATTATATATTTAAGAAAGTTGGGCTTAATTCTTATTAAGCAGTCTCACTGTTTATACTGTATCTCATTCACTAGTCAAATTTTCTCCAACTCTGAATCACTACTAGTTTCTCTTCTGACTTAATGACAACACCAAAAGGCATTTCTTAATCTACCTGGATCTACAGTTTCTTAAGTAGAACACGTCCTATGCAATATTCAATGAATACACTGAATAACTGTGATCTACAATGTATTTGTGTAAAAGTGTTTTCTATATTTTAAATGTCCCTTTAATTCTCCCTTTTGCCATCCTGACTTCAAATTATGGAATAATAAACCCATCCTAACAGAAAAATAATATATCATTTAAGTAAGAGCAAAGTCCACATTTTTGAACCTGTAGCCAAAAATAAATTTACATTTTGCTGCTGGCGTGATGTTCAAATTTTTGCCAAGTAAACAATATATTACAAGGTCAAAAAACAATCTCAGCCTACAAATCTGATCTTAATTTATATTCAACACCAAATTTTCACTATTTCCTTCATTCAAATGTTTAAATTAGTTACAATAACCTTTAATAAAATGTTAAAAAAGGAAAATATACTAAATAACACAAAGTAGTTTAGTTCTTTTAAAAGCCCCCTTTTGGGCCGGGGATTTAGCTCAGTGGTTCCACTGCCTGCCTCACAAGCGCAAGGGCCCGAGTTCAATCTCTGGTACCAAAAAAAAAAAACAAAGCCCCCTTTTCCCAGATGCATACATACACCAAAAAAACTACAAAAACATTTAAAATAATGCTAACTTTTCTGTAAGATTTTTAAATATTATATTTTCTAGGGTAGCCATCTTCATTAGCTCATTCATGCAAACTCAATAGCAAAAATTAATAAGCACTCTGAAAAAGATGTACAACTGTCCAGAAAGTATTCCACTATCCTTCCTCCTCTTTGAATCAGGTACCCCTGCTCAGGGACTAGCCGGCTACACTCTTCACTGTACTTATCATATTTCAGTTTTTGCTTAAGAGCACCTTGAGGGCAATGCCTGCATTCATTTCTGTATCCCTGGACTAAAGCCTAATAGTTTAACTCTGAGTCAAATTCAAATTACATGGAGAGCTTATAAAAATATTAATGTCTGGGATCTATCCCAGACCCATTAAATCATAAGGGTCTAGGGGAGAGGGCAAGGAATTAGAACAAGCATGGGGGAGCATTTCTGTAAGATTTGCACATGATATTAATGTGCTCCCAGAGTTAAGAACCACTGCACCCTGACATTTAGAATACTGTGTACATATGCATGAAGATGTAGGTATAAATATACAAAGAAATACACAACTCTACTCAAGACTTGTCTTTTATAGCTGCTCCCTGCCCAGGGATCCCTTTAGATATAGTATTTTTTGGGGGAAGGAGGGGCATGATACAGGGTCTTGCTATGCAGTTCAGGCTGGCCTTGAACTCACTTTGTAGCCCAAGCTGGCTCTGACCTCACAACGATCCCCCTGCCTCAGCCTTCCAAGTGCTGGGATTACAAACAGTTCCTGCACTTGACTATAGTTTGATAAATGTGCCTGGAACTCAAGGCAATCCTCCTGCCTCGGCCTCTCGAGTGCTAGGATTACAGGTGTGCACTCTGAACCCATAACACACAGTATTTTTAATAAATAATCAATTATAGGCTACATTACACTTGCTTTTAAACTGTTAACTCATTACACATAAGATTTTTCCTGTAACTAAGCCTTCTATTCTCTTCTAGATTACTGCCTTGCTCCTCGAGAATATACACTGCCTTACTCTTCTTTTCTCCAGGGCTTAACATTAAGTGTACTAAAAACAAGATATTTAATCAACATCCATCTCATCTGATAAAAATTATTGACAAGATTTTTGTCACATCAAACTATCCAGTTCAGGCTGTTAACTAAAAAACAGAAAAAGTAAAAATTCAAGCTGGGGATTTAGCTCAGTGGCATTGCACCTGCCTCGCAACAGCAAGGTCATGAGGTTCGATGCCCAGTACGAAAAAAAAGAAAAAGTTTTCTAACATTCTAATAAATGTAGACTAAAGTTTACCTCGTTAAAAAGCATATGGATGGGGGCCCAGGACTTAGCTCAGTGGTTCTGCCATCTGCCTCGCAAGCTTAAGGACCGGAGTTTGATCCTCGGTACCAAAAAAAAGCACATGGATGTTTGTACTTTTATAGTCACAAACACACTATATATCCTATCCATCAATCTGTGTTAGATTTTAACCTGTTTCCTTCTAAGACTATCTTCTACTTCGTTTTAGTAAAAAAAGCTGTTGTCACATACCTTTAAAACATTCTATAACATTCTTTAATGAGTTAAAGAGAGCCACAATAAATGTCACACAGATGCTTAATATATACTTCTTTTTTTTTTTCTGGTGCCAGGGATCGAACTTGGGACCTTGTGGTTGCGAGGCAGGCACCAGATAATATACACTTCTTGAAGGAAGTTGTTTATCAACAACCAAAAGAGACAAAACTCGGTTGGGAATACTATCTTAAAGTAAAAATGTTATTCAACATTATAATAGATTGATAGATTGATTTTTGACTCTTGATAGATTGATTTCCATCATTTTTTAATATTTTTAAAACCTGAAAAGTTTATGAAATGTAAAATAGCTTTTTAAACAAGAGTGCTAAATTATATCACACAAGATACTCCACAGCAAGGAGCATCATGATTATTGAAAACTAGGAGAAATGGCATACAATTCTAAAAACACAACAATGTAAAGTGAAAATGGTTCACGATTACAATTTTGCAATATATATTTTATCACTATTAAAACAAACTTAAAAACCTTTTTCAAAGAACTGAAAATAGGGAAGGAGGCACTGAAAAAGTATGCCTGTTAATTAGATACAGTACTGTGGTAATGTATTATATGTTTTTTTGTGTCCTACACCTTGAAACAGAGCTAGTTACCACTAAAAGAAAGCACTTCTCAATTCCCTAGTCAATAAAAAAGGTTCAAATTCCAAAGGCAAAAAATGGTATCTTGGGTTGTTTGTTTTTAAGGAAGATTAAATTTAGGAGTTGCCAACACCCAAACGAAAAACATTCCAGAGTATTAGACTAAATTGTACTAGGGAGTCATCTACATTCTCAGCACTACGTTCCCTCAATCAAAGCAGCAGTATTAACAAAGGATGTTTCTTAGGCTCTCACAAGAGACACCCTACATATTTCCCCTAGTAAACAATACTCTTGGTTTTTAAAAAGTACTTGAAAAATAACTATACCACAAGCAGCCAGACAAAAAGTGAAGTTTAACATGTGCCAAGACATTTCCCAAAAAAAGACCCCTGCCAGATGAACAATAAGTAAAAGACTGAAAATGATAAATTCTCTTATTTAGACCATAAGTTATTTTTAAAATAAAGTTTAGGAATGTAACTTTTCCAAAGCCTTGTCTTCAATTTCCCCTTAATCTTCATATTTTCAAGTTAAGGAAAAAAAACCCTAGAAATTTGATTACCACTCTTTACGAATTCCTTTTAAAACAATTTAATGCATAACATATTTTATGGAAGTAGCAAACCAAAGAGAACAGTTCTGGTGGCTGATAAAAATCTCTCAGAAACATTCATATTAAAATATACCCTATAGAGACATACTGATTTTTCAGGTGTGGGAATCATTCATATTTAAAAGGAGATCCATCTGATATTGCCACAACTTATTACCAAAGCTATTACTTAGCTTAATGGGAATGTTTTTCCTTAAGCCATAATTAAAGTTAGGAAATTCCTAATAGCTTATTTAGTGAGTAGAAAAGTTGAGTAAATTAGAAGGCCAAGAGTAAAGGGAAAAATGCAAAACCAAAAGAGCCAATGAGGAAAAGACAAGGCCACCTTGGGTCCAAAGATAGGTGAACCACTTCCCACGCACACCGAGCTACTATTAAAGTAACTCCGGCTTGTTTGGAATTGTTTTGTTTTACATAAATGGAGGTACGACTATACCCTAAGTAAAAATTTTTACCAGTCATCTAATTGGACCCTGCTGCCTACAGAAATGTTTTGAGACTGCTCAAAAATACCAGAAACTCACAGAAATACACCTACCACAAAAATGTTTTCCAGATATTAAGCACAAGAACAGACCTAAGCAAACAAAACTGTAAGCTGATACAGCATCCCTATTGTCCTAAGTATGACTCAGAAAAAAAAATTCTGGGGTTGGGAAGCACTATGTACAATACAGCGTATAAGTTCGTTCGGGTATACTCCTCTTGGGTTCGTCCCAAGATAGAGCTGTCTGGGATATTGCTCGGGTCACATTTTCTTAACTGGTACTAAGAGGCGACAGGACATAAGCTGATAACTTGAGAAAGACAAGTGGGAAACTAGTGTCGTCGTCACCATTAATCAATTTTCCCAACTGATCAAGCATGAACAGGTAAGTCTAGGTTGGCAAATCCTGGAGTCCTATTTTGTCTTTCTGCTAACTCCAATGTAATATCCAGAATCTAAGACCGCAGCCAGGAAGCTAGAAAAAGCACGTGTCCTACTCTGGGTTTAGGGAACTTCCCAGGAAGCATTTGCTCAAAGTAAAACTCCATCACCCTCTGCTGCCTAGCTCGGTGAAACGATCCGAGCACGAGTCTCGAGGAAAGTCTGGGCCCCGTAGACGGGGGAGCTCTCGGGTGGAAGCCCCGAGAAAGTGGCAGCCCGCCCAGCCCCGCCACCGCCCGCGCCCGGCTCACCTCCGCCGCCGGGATGTGGACCACGCCGGTGGAGCGCCGCTTCTCCCGCAGCTTCCTCTTCTCGATCTGCCCTTTGCCTTTCCTAGCGCTGGGGCCCGAGCTCCGGCCCTTCTCGGGGGCGCCATCCGGCTCCTCCTCGTCGCCCCCGGGCAGGGGGGTCCCCGAGGCGGAGGCGGCGGTGGTCTCCTCCTCCGGCCGCCGCGGGACGGGGCCGGCCCGGGTCAGTGCGGCGGGGCCGACCGTGCAGTTCACGCCCCCGGGGCCCGGGGCAGCAGGTGCGGCCGCCCCCGCCGAGAGGCTGCTGTTGAGCTCGGGGGTCGCCGAGGCGCCCAGCGTCCCCGCGGGGGACTTGGCGGCCGCTTCGGTGCCGCCCCCGCCGGCGGCGGCCGGGCCCGGAGGGCTCTGCTTGGCGCGCATCTTCTCGCGCTTCGCTTTCCACTCCTCCAGGAAGTCTGTGGTGCTGCCGCTGAGGCCGCTGCTGGTCCGGTAGCCACCGGTCGCCATATTCCCAGCGGGGCCGGCAGGGTTCTCACCTCAGCCGCCCACCCCGGCTCGGGCCGCCGCCGCCTCTGCCCGCCCGCAGCCGGGAGGGGGCGAGGGAGCGATCCCCGGGCGCCGGGCGCGGCTGCTCCCCCGCCGAGCGCCGGGTCTGAGGGGAAACACAAAAGGGGGCGGGGAGCGGCGTCAAGTCCGCCGCCCGAGGGTCTGTCCGGCCGCGCGCCCGGCGTCCCCGCAGTCGCAGTCCCGGGGCCGCCGCTTCCCCACCCGTCTCGCCGAGCGGCCCGACGCACCTTCGCGGCGGACCCGCCGAACACCGCCCCCGAGGGAGGAGAGAGGCTGACCCCACCCCCGGCCCGCCCCGGCCCGCGGGGTCACTGCCTTCCGCAGCCTGGGGACGCGGGCCGGACTCCGCCACCTGTCGGCCCGTCGGGGCGCCCACTCCCACGTCCCGGGCACCCGCAGACACCCCTCACCCCCGGGCGACGCGCGGAGCCTCTACGGCTCGCGGAGGAGGCGGGGATCCAGCCGCGCCGCCGAGGGGGACGGGCGCGCAAGTCCAGGGCGGGCGTCCCGGGAGCCCCTCACCTCCGAGGAGTTTCGGGGAGCGAAGCGCGGGACCGGGTGGGGGTGCCCAGGTGAGCCGAAGCCGCTGCGCGCTCTCCGGGTAAGCGGACGGACCACGGCCAACTCGCAGTCTCGAGCTCGCGGCGGTCCCAGGCCGGGAGGGCGAGAGGGAGGGAGGGGAGCGAGAGGGCGGGAGGCAGGGAGGGAGGGAGGGAGGCAGGGAGGGAGGGAGCGGCGGGACTCGAGCCGAGCGGTGCCGAAGCGGGGCGGAAAGGGCCGAGGCAGCGCGGGCTGGGGAGGAGGGAGTGCCCGGCAAGGCTCCGCCCCCGGCGCTCAGGTGCGCGGCGCCGACCCCATTGGCCGCCCTCGGCGGCCCGCGGTGGGACCGCGCGTTCCTGGGCTCTGTGCGCCTCCGACGGCGGGGCGGCCGCGCTCTCCGCGCTCCTCTTTCCGGCTCGCTCGCCCCCTCGCTCATCTCCCAGCGCTCTTCCTCTTAAGCACAAAATCGTATTCTTCGAGGGAGCCTTTCGAATGTTGCTGAGAGGGAAAGTGCCAAAGTCCAACTTTGGACGGTCCAGGACCTGACTTAGCCGGGATGGGAAGATAACCACAGGTTCTTTTCCTGTTGCTGCCCCCACTTCAGACTGGACGGCAGAACAGAAAATCGAAACACATCGTCCCGTCCTAAGAAAGAAAAAGGGGTGAGAGGGGCTAGCTGAAAGAGGCTAAAGTTGTCAGGGAATGATCACGAGTTTACTATTAGGTTTGCAGACTTGTCAAAACTTCCTTCGAGAATGTATTCTATTGGCGATTCCAGTCTTACTTAAAATTTTCCTCTTAACCCAATCTCTACACATCCTCTTACAGAGAGTGAAATTAACAGCCGAACTCCCTACCGAAGTTCTAAACCTGCCTTGTCCTTGAAAAGACATGAGCTGGAGGGATGATAGTCTTTACTTTTCCTTTCCTCCTTAGCCTCCCATCCAAACCATGTGAGATTTCTGGCCACAGCTGTCGGGCACCAGCCTCCGCAGTTCCCTACGTCCAAGTAATGTCAGGGTGCATCATTATCAAAGGCTATAAATGCTAGGTCTCCATTTTGTAAAAAGTAGAAGAACCCTGAGTCACACTCTTGCCTGACAGAAATCTTTCCTTCCACTTACATTCCTATTTTGCCCAGGTGGCAAACGATAGGTAAGCGTCAGTGTGTGCCTGCTATAGGAATATGAGAGGGAGAAATGATTCACGGTTTTGTATTTCTCAGAAAGTCAGGCAGTTCTGGTCCCTGGTCTACGTGCTGGAGTGAACAGATTGGTAACCAGGAAAAAGCTGTGGACAATTCCTTGGAAAATCAGAGGCTTTCTTTGGGAATAGGCTTTAAAGCCTGAGTGACCATTTGCCTAGCTGGCAAACTGGGTGCACCACCCAAAATCTCTCAATTACAGAGTCATTGTTTTCTGAGTGTTGAGAGACCGAGAGAGGGTTGAGTGCTAAATGTATTCACATTCACTTGTTTTGTAATTTAGAGGATTTTTTTTTTGCTGGGAGAGGCTGCAGGATATAGTGGAAAGAGAATATAATCGGCCTGGATCCAAACATATGTCAAATAGCTGAGAGGTCCTGAGAATATGTTATGTTCCCTGAAACTCAGCAGCTTTCTTTACTATAAAAATCAGCAATAGTGGCATATATTTTTAAGATGTTTTATAAATTGACACTGAATGTGCAGTGTTAAGGTTCAAGGAAGACACTGAATATACTCTGTTCTGTCAATAAGATAACAAACCGTAAGAGTTCTGGGTCTCTAAAAAGTCTGGGGAGAGAAGAAGGCCAAAAACACCAGAAAAGATTAAAAATATTAAACTGGAAAAGATAGATTTTGAGTGAAACAGGATAACACTTGCACCACGTAAGTTTATCATTACATCTCTTAAACCAGTTCTCTTAGTATTAATAGACTCTGAGTCAGGGATGTTGGCTGCTAACTGACTTGTGTGGCTTTGGGCAAGTTGCTTAGCTTTTGTGCCTCTGTTTACTTACATATAAAATAGGGATAATAATACTTGCTACATTGTGAGAGCATCGTGAAAATGCCTAAGGTCTTCAGATAAAAGGTAGTATATGAATACCACCAGAGTAGTTATTATTGGTCTATAAACCATGGATGAAAGAGATTACTGAGGTACAAAGCACTGTGTTTTATTATTGTTATCATTTATTATAGCTTTTGTCTTTACCGTCGTCACTACTCCTAAAGATACCTTTCACAGCCAGACTATTTTGTCATTGCACCAAGATATTGAGCTGAGTCAGTTGCACCCTAAACTGAGTATGTTTGCATATCCTCAGTCTTTATGTATAGAGCTCTGACAAAATAATTCTTAAAGACCAGGCCCTGTTTTCCAGTCTCAGCACAATTGACACTTGTGGCTGGATAAGTCTTTGTTCTGAGGTTTGCCCTGTCCACTGTAGGATCTTTAGTGGGATCACTGATTTGTACCTGATACTGAAAGCATCCTCCACCCTCATTGTAACATTGCAAAATGTTTCCCCGGAGGCAGTTGAGAACCTCTGAGTTGGCCTAAAATTAGTAATTTTAGTGACCCACTTTGACCTTAATAGTAAGGAAAAAACATGACGATGCTAACAAATAAAAAGATTCATTTTAAGATTTCAGAATGAAACTTACTGTAAATATTGTCTTCATTAATGTTTTCAAACAGTGGATTAACTATGATGTAAAATACCCCATTTGTATGTGTTGAAATAATTAATAATATACTGGGAAATAGGCATTTTGACTTCAATACAAGTATTTCTGGAGCATATGCAATTAATACTGTTCTATGCAATATTGTACAACAGCAGAGTCATGGTGTACTATGATTATATCTATTCCATAGCCTTTTTAAAGAACAGCTTTTCCTTGTTTTTCAACTGTCTCCTTTTCTAGCATTTAAGATGTGTCTCTTTGGGCTAATTATTTAGCTCAGTGGTGCCGGACCTGCCTCACAAGTGCAAGGTCCTGAGTTCTATCCCTGCTACCAAAAATAAATAAATAAATAAAAATAAATTGTGCCTCTTTTTTAATAATCATTGGCATATTTTTCTATATATGACTCACAAATTTACACCCACATTTGCTCTTCTCAGTGCAGTTTGTCACACTGGGTAATTTATCAGCTCTGTTTCTCTTTTTCTTAGTTACCTCTCTCCTGGATCCCTCCATCACCTGCTTTAGCCTGGACTGATTGTAAGGCCTGTTGCTCTGTGGTCATCCTGGGATTGTGCTTTCCTAACATCTTGGAATCATTTTTTGTGTAAACCATTTACTTCCTAAATTCTCTGTGTTCCTGTCTTGTTTCTCTTTGTTAGTATATGTATCTCCACTATGTTTTGGAGATAATGTAAATAACACCTTCTTGGAGATTTTGCATATTAGGAAATGTTTTATCTTTCTGTTGATTAATAGTTAATTTGGGGGGGCCAGGGATTTAGCTCAGTGGTTTTGCCACCTGCTGCGCAAGCATAAGGACCCAAGTTTGATCCCCCGGTACCCAAAAAAAAAAAAAAAAAAGTTAATTGGGGCTTAGGACTCTAGGTTGGAAGCCATTTTCCTTCATAATTTGAAAGTATCAATATATTGTCTTCTAGTTTTCAGAGGTGCTGTTGGTGGCATTCTGATTCTTTTCTGTTTACTTTCTGAAAGCTTTTCTGAATGAAGATTTTCTGAAATATTCAGAAAATAGGCTCTAAGTGGAACATTTGTCACGATTATGTTAGGTTTTCAGTGGACCCTTGTAATCTATTATCTGCCCTTTAGTTGAGAAATTTTCTTATCCTGTGTCTTTAGTAATTCTTTTCAATTTATCCCTTCTCTTTTTCTAGAACTTGTGTTAAGTAGGTATTGGAGTGCTAGGAGTCCTCTGATAGATTCAGAATCTTTTTTTCTCCTGTTTTTCATCACTTTGGCATGTTACTTTACTTTCACATACATTTCCTCTACTTTGTATGTGCCCTTCCTATTGAATTTTTGTTTCTACCACTATTTTTTCTAAGATCCTTTTCTTCTCTGAATGTTTCCTTTCCACAGCATCCTGTTGTCATGTATTCAGCATCTTTTCTCACCCCAAGGAAATTTCTTTAACTCTTCTTCTGCTGATCTTGCACTGTTTCTTGCCTGTGGATCCCTTCTTTCCTTTTTTGTTTGTTTTAGTCTTCATCTTTCATCTCAGATCCTTGCTCATCAGCCTTCAGTTCACTCGTATTTAAGACTGAAGCATTGGAAAGCTGATTGGAAGCTCTTCTATGAAAGGGTAGAGGTTGCTGGTGGGCAGCTGTCATTTAGGCAGCTAGTATTAGGATGCAGACATTTTGTGAAGGCATGGGTCATATGTCAGCATCTGTGGAGCTTCTCTTTTAGATGGATCAGTTTCTGTAAGAAAACTGTTTCTGCCTGTGTTGCTAGTTACCAACTAGTTCAGGTACCAAGTAAGGAAAGAGAATGGGTGGAGTGTCATTACTCAGTGTGCAAG